AAGTAGTGTGCACCCTTTGACTTTTTTTTTTCCTGTGCTGCAATATTTTGCCACGGGCAAGAAAGTGGCAAAATTGAACAAAGCCCAATCTCTTCCCCTTGAACAAACATTCCGTTTGTAATATTCCTTCGCTCCCAGACTTAATACCCTACATTTATCTTCTTTGAGCTGAATTTCTTTACTTTAACCTAGTTACATAAATGATCAAAGCCATCCTCTAATTCCTCTCATCTTCCCAGTCTCTGTCAGGGGTAAGCTCAAGAGCCTTTCTACACTAATTAAAAGAGAAGATACTATGTGAAACTTGTTTACCTTATAACTCATTCATTTTAATATAAACATAGCATCAATTTTCTCCTGATTATAATTCATTGACAATGTAAGGAATGTGATTTTAAGCATTTTATTTTTAAACACATAGAGTTTAGTCTCCTAATCGTAGCATTATTGATGTTTCGTGCTGGATAATCCTTTCTGGTAGACGGTTGTCATGCACTCTGCAAGAATTTTAACAGCAGCCCTGGCCTCTGCCTCGTACATGCTCCTCCCCTCCTCTGCCACTTTTCTGGGACAACCAAAAATGTATCCCAATATTGCCGAATGTCCCCTTTGGGTGAAAGAAACCTGGGTTGAGAATGGTGGATGTAAACCGTATTTAACCTTTTTTATCTAGGAAGACATAGCAGGCTGATGCAGCACTTCTTCCTTGAATATCTTATATTATATAGGAAAAAAACAGAACTTGGATTTTTGGTCTGACTTGATCTCTACTCTTTAGTCAGCTCCCAGAATGTACTTATGAATGTTTTCTGACAAAGTTTCTCATATGAATCTATCACTACCTATTTTCGTGCCCAATTCTTCACATGCTTCTTACTTTGTAAATAAGTTTACAAAATCCATTTCAGACATGTAATATTACTGAATTTCCACAACATTAAGAAGTGGGTACTAATAGCCATGGGAGAGCACCAAGTGCCATGAAAAGAAATATTTGGGGGAAGACAGGCTGGAGCTTCAGTTCTGGTACCACTACTTCCTGGCTCTGAAAACTGAGGCCAGTTCTTTAGCTTCGGTGCACCTCAGTCTCCTCATCTGGAATGTGGTATCATTAATAACTTGGAGTGATATTGAGAGAATAAAACAAGATGAGAGATGTAACAATGCTTCACACTAACAGAGGCTCAATCAGCTGTAGCTTTGATTATTATCACTCTGACTCCAGAGTTTTGTGTACTCACAGATACATAGCAGCTTTCTCAATAGTGGCAGATTTTGCCCCTGTTCTGGCCACAGATCACTTTAAGAGTCGTCTAAACAAAAAAAAATCTCATAAGCAACACAATTTGTAGACAATTTCAGGGATATTCACTGGTTCCCCTGAAGTATATATTGGGACCAAATAAAGAATTCCTCTAATGAGAGCCTTCTAATTTCAAACATCTTTTCTTCAATTGACTCAAGTACGTTGTGCCAAATCTCCTTCCTTGCTCATTGCTTTAAAATGGAATCACCTGCTGTGGAAATAAAATGATTCCTATTTCCTCTAACCTAATGCTAGAGGAAGATGCTTGACCAATGCATCATTGAAATAAGTCTTTGGCTTTGTGAAGAAGAAACACGCTTGCCAATTTCCGTTCTTCAACAGAAAAGGGGAAGAAGGGTATTTGGTAAAAAGGGATTCAGCACATCCAGTATGATTATCCACAGTATTAGTTTCCTATTACTATTGTAAGAAATTACATAAACTTACCATCTTCAAAGCCAGCAATGGCCAGTTCTTTCTCCCATCAAATCCCTTTGGTATTCACTCTTCTCTTTCCCTTTTCCACCTTTAAGAACCCTTGAGATTACAACTCACTCATCAGGATAATCCAGGATAATCTCCTCATTTTAAGTTCAGTTGCTTAGCAAACTTAATACCATATGCTACCATTCTCCTTTGCCATGTAATATAGAAATATTTAAGTGCTGGAAAAATCAGCACAGACATCCTTAAGAGGCTATTATTCTACCTACTAGAGTCAAACATCTTGGTGTCTTTAATGATAAAGTAGGAATAAATCGTGTTACAAACCCTATGAACATATGCAGTTTAGCAGACCAAGAAGTTGGCACTATTTTTGAGTTTTCACAATAACAAGTGCATTTTTAGATAGTAATGTCCCCTTGAAAATTCCATAACATCTTTAAATAGAGTCCCTCAAAAACTATGCTCAATTCACACTTTTTCAGCAATTTGACATCTTCCAACTCCCGATAACTTAGGTAACTGGAGAAATTCTTTACAGTTCACTACACAAATGGTCTTTGGTTAAGACAACTCACATGTACTTTGCAAAGAAGGTTGCAGATACCGACAGAGATACCCATGGAGACTAAATGAAGACTGTATGAATCAGGAGGAGCTCAAAGGAAATCCAGGCATTGTTGGCAAAAGAAGGTAAGGCTGCTCAGAAGCAACTGTAGGGACTGCACTGCACATTCACCAGCTAGCTTACAGCTCCACTGCTTCATGGCACCAATCTCTAGAAAGCCCCTCATTACAATCTTCTGCAAATCCAGCAGACTCATCTTCTGTATTCTCCTGGATCTTTTTGTTCATTTGCTTTTGTATTCCTCCAGTGGACCTGACTGACTTTGCCTCTGATTCTTGTTCCTTCTTTTTAATCCTTGATTCTTCCATTTAAAAAATTTTTTAAAAATGTTTTAGAGACACGTTCTGTTTCCCAAGCTGGAGTGATCATAAACCACTGCAGTTTCAAACTCCTGGGCTCAAGTGATCCTCTCATCTAAGCCTCCTGAGTATCTGGGATAAAGGCACAAACCACCACACCTGGCTTGATCTTTATTTAGCACCACTTACCATCATAAAAATGGCTTCCAGGTCATTTTCCTAACCATGTTTAATACAAGCCCCAATGTCCTTGGCATTTATTTGGTTCTTAGTCATATTTAACGTTTTTGCTGAACTAGGCTTCAAAAAAACTATTTCGTGCCTTCTTTCTCCTTATATTAATCCATTCTGGCATTGCTATAAAGAACTACCTGAGACTAGGTAATTTATAAATAAAAGATATTTCATTGGCCATACAGGAAGCATGGCTGCAGAAACTTAAAATCATGGTGAAAGGTGAAAGGGAAGCAGGCATCGTCTTCACACGGTTGAGCGGAAGAGAAAGAGAGCAAAGTGGGGAAGTGCTACACCCTATTAAACAGCCAGATCTCGTGAGAACTCACTCACTATGACAAGAACAGCAAGGGGTAAGTCAGTCACCATAATCCAATCACCTCCCACCAGGCCCTTCCTCCAACTTTTTGACGTGATATTTGTGGGGTCACAGAGCCAAACCATATCACTCCTTAAACCTCAAATGCCTCCTCCTCTATTCACAAATATTCTAGCCTCCTTTCTTGCCAGAGGCCTCCACAGGACCCCTTTGACGTTAGATGTGGCAGTGTTACTTATTTTGCCAACGATATGTAGACGAAAGGTCATATATCACTTCCAGAGACAGGCTTTAAGAACCAGAGTGCCACTTTTCTATTTTTCCAATTTTGGCAAAAGAGGGGCAAAGAAAGCCTCCCAGCTCCCTGAGTGAGGTTGGAGCAAGCAGCATCCTCTAACTGATCTGCAACAGACACTTAGCATGAGAGAGAAATAAACCTTTGATGTGTTAAACTGCTGGGATACAGGAAATAAGGCGGTTACTTGTTACTGTAACATCCCAGCCTCTACTTTGCTTCCTGATTTGGTGAGAAAATAGAAGCAATCAGAAAAGAACTTCTACAACCTCCCGTAACCACATCTGTGACTGATTATTAGTCACCATATATTCTGTCCTCCTCCAACAGCTGAATGAATTCTCCATATTCCTATCTAAAGCCAATCTTTTATCTTGTACACTAGATGGAAACTACTTTTCCTTACTCAAGGCTGACATTCAAATATTTCTCTCCTTTGTCTCTTATATAGTCAATCCTTCCCTTTCTACTAGATCACCTCCATCAGTAAATAAACATACACAGTATCTTCTGTTTTAAACAGTCTCTCCGCTAGTTAACATCACCCAATCCTATCTCCAATGTGTTGAAATACTTGCTCCTATTTTCTTTTTCTTTCTTTTTTTTTTTTTTTTTGAGACGGAGTTTCGCTCTTGTTACCCAGGCTGGAGTGCAATGGCGCGATCTCGGCTCACCGCAACCTCCGCCTCCTGGGTTCAGGCAATTCTCCTGCCTCAGCCTCCTGAGTAGCTGGGATTACAGGCACGCGCCACCATGCCCAGCTAATTTTTTGTAGTTTTAGTAGAGACGGGGTTTCACCGTGTTGACCAGGATGGTCTCGATCTCTTGACCTCGTGATCCACCCGCCTCGGCCTCCCAAAGTGCTGGGATTACAGGCTTGAGCCACCGCGCCCAGCCTGCTCCTATTTTCTTCAGAATTATCTTACTAGGGTCTGCTTGCCCCACTACACTGAAAACTGCTTTTGTCAGAGTCACCAATAATATAAAATTACTAAGTGTGGAAGTCAAACCTTGGTCCTTGTCTAATGTAAGATTGACTTGGTTGACCATATTCCTTCCTTCTTGAAATTTTTTTTTACATGGCTTCCAAGACACAACTATCTCTTAATCCTCTTCTTGCCTCACTGGCTGCTCCCTCTCGATCTCCCAAAGTCTAAATATTGGGGTTCAGCCCTTGGGTGTCTTTTCTTCTTCATTCACACTCTCTTGACCGGTGACCTCATTTAGTTTCATGGTTTTACACTGTCAACTGAAGAATAATGAGGTTCATAAATTTAGAAAGGAAGTGTCCAGTATGTGCCAAGGAAAGTGTCTACTGCTGGTGGAGCAATGCTTAACCAGCAGTCACCAAGGCCAGGAAGGTGAAGGTTGGACAGAAGGTCCTGAGAAAACCGTGAGAAAGTGGAGGCGGAGGAGGAAGAAGAGGAAAAGGAGAGGGGGAGGGGGAGGAAAGGAAGGGGGACAGGGGAAAGCGGAAGTAGGGGAGGAGGAAGAGGAGGGAGTTGGGAAGGGGAGAAGGAAGAGGGGCAGAAGGAAGAAGAAGAAGGGAAGGAGAAAGAGGAAGAAGGGCAAGAAGAGCGGGAAGGAAAACAAGGGGGAGGAGGAGGGAGGGGAGGGGCTTCGCCGCGGCCTGCTCCTCCCGGCCGGGATCCGAGGCCACATGGCTTCGGTCTCCTCTGCGGGCTTCTCGGGCCACGGGGCTCGTTCCCTGCTGCAGTTCCTGCGGCTGGTGGGGCAGCTCAAGGTGAGCGGGCAGCGGGCGGGGAGGCCGCGGCCGAGCAGGCGGGACAGTGAGGCGGCGCAACTTCCGGCTCCCGGCTCGGCCCGCGGCCTTTCCCGTTCCCGCGCCGGCCCGCCATGCCGAATTCGGGAAAGGCGCCGGCCTTGGGGAGGCGTCGGGAGGCGCGTACTGGACGGTGGGCGGAGGAAGAAGCCGGCGGGGAGGCCGGGCCGGGTGGGGCCGCGCAGAGTTTGAGCCCAGAGCCCGGAGCCGCTAGGGCCGCCACGCAGCCGCGCCGGTTCCCGGAGAGCAGCTGGCCTGGGCCGGCCTGCGCTGAGCGCGTCCCGAGCTCACGACCCCAGAACTCGCGTGTGTGTGTGTGTGTTGATAGGCTCTGTTTCACAGTTACATCCCAAATTTGTGTGTGTGTGTGTGTGTGTGTGTGTGT